TGTCACAGATAAAGATGTACTCGCGAGGCGCGGGATCGTGACGTAACAACACAGGTAACCCGAATTTTTCTAAGAGCACGCGCCGATATATAAATACATTTTTAAAGCGTGCAATTCTGTCTCTAATGCATTAGTTGGGCGGCCTATGTATATGCATCGAAAAAAAAACCCGACCACATACGTGCCGCCACGCTTAATTGGTAGAGCATGATATTAATGTCTGTGTGAGAAATTGAAGCAGACACGAACTTCAAATTCCTGCATTAGTGTTAGTGTAGGACCTAAGCCGATATTTAGCGCAAACTATACTGAGGGCTATATAATGAAACTCCATCAGTTCTTGTTTCTTTTGACATTTGTCAGCAAAGGTAAGTCTCTTGAACTTATAATGATACATAAACTGTAATGTTGCATATTATTCATTTTCGTGATGGACAGGTACAACTCCGTGTCTAGTAAACGACACCAAAACGCACCCCTTATTAAATGGGTTTCTTCTTTATATCTTTTGCTATCTATTAAACGCGAATAAATATTCTATTGAGCAAAGAAAAGCAAACGGAAGCATTGGCATTAGAGCGGAGAGATATAAAATTTACTAACGCGAACGAACTCAAGAGATGAACATTTAGTCAATAATATTTATATATAGATCTATTTTGACAACAAATTCTATATAAAAAGAATTTACTAGAGTCATTTTCATCCGTCTGTGAAACAATTGCTACTAGTCAGTGTTCAATAGTAACTATTAGGGTATGGTAGGCTGCCAAAAGGCAAAATCAAAACCTTGCAAAAAGGTTGTTAATTGAGAGATGTACATATACTCTTATATAATGAAATTCAAAATATACCTAATGATCGAGATGCAGAAGTATGTCTAACTATAAGATTTCAAGGCAACCCTAACCCCACGCAAGCCTTCTTATCACGTTTTACATTTATATTTGATTTCTGTGACCAACAACAGAAATGTTATAAAAATATGGATTCATATCGAAAGGATGTGTTGGAATATGGAATCTGTGCTTTCTTAAAATCTATATTCAAAACCATTAAAAATTAATACTATTTCTATACGTCGGTAGGTGCTTCGTTTCCATATTGTCTTGGAGGTACTTTGCATAGATTTCAAACGATGAACTCTTTTTGAATATGCAGGCGCGGATCCAGGACTTTGAAGTGGGGGGTGAATTGCTAAAAYWAWGTRATARAATGGAAGCCAAACGCCGAAGCCGGGAGCCCCTAGGGGGTTGGGGGGTATCCCCCCCGAGAAATTTTGAAATCCAGACTCTCGGACATGCGATTTGCAGCRTTTTGTGGGCCTTTTTAGTAACTCTTTATTGAACAAATTTAAGMGGAATTTAGTACGCAATGCTCACTTGAAGCAAATAATCTCTCACGTTTAAAACTAGTATTTATCAAGAACAATGAGAGTTTACCGTGTAAACACGAATATACATTACACCCACTAATGTTATCTAGGCTATTTACTGCCCCAAAAGTGATTGTTCCATCATCCTCCTTGKATGGAGTTCCATWAATGCTCGGCAAATAGTAGGTAGAATCAATCAGTCTTTGGAGAAATTAATTAATATTTCAATATTTGAGGGATAAGAGAAAAAAAGGAAGAAGAGCTTAGAAAAATGGGGGGTGGCTAGCCACCCTATTCACCCCCCCTAGATCCGCCCCTGTAATATGCCTCCTGCATGTTATTAGGAATTTTAGGAATGTCAATGTTTATGAATATAAAAGTGTATATCTCAATCCACAACCTTTTAAAATTGACTATATATATCATACATAAATGCTGTATACATTTACCAAACCGTTGTCGTAAATAGAAGAAACTTGACAGAGCACTGTATTGCAAAAAGATTGCTTCTTTAGATGACAATGAAAAGAGTTCAGCCGGAGTAGTGTTCCTTTAATATGTAATTATTCCTTGCGCAATTCAAACTTCAATTTGTTTATGTCACCCTTTTTTTGTAAACAAAAGTGTAAATAATAAATATATAAACTTTTAATGACATTTTTATAGCGCTCATGTAAACGTGCTGGAATTAAAACAGTTTATGTTCACAGTACGTATGGTCATGAGCGTTATGTTATTTTCCGTGATTATCATCATATACGAGCGTTTGAAAAAATCTCAAAGTTATGCCATCCAACTGAGGTTACACATGTATGCATGCCTTTGATCATGTTTTCAAGACATTCTATTTCTATTGTCTAACATTGAACAATATTGATAATATGTATATCAAAGACATAGTACATGATGACATATTTCAAGCTTACAGTAAACACTTGAGATCAAAACCCAACACATTATTCATTTTTGCAACTGATTTTTGAAACTGTTTGAATAGTGCTATCTAAGTCGCCTATAGTTCAACTCCACAGTAATACAACTTAAAAAGCACAATTATACAGAAACTCAAGCAGAGAAACTATTACAAAGGCCACATTTTTACAACGGGCGTAAGGTGCAATGCTAATGGGTGATCATTTATTTTCTATCAGAAAATTCGCCAAAAGTCATATAAATTAACTACACATAAATAGTTACACCAAAAAAGTCTTATTTAGGGGCTACATACCGGCCCAAATGTTGCATTATCAATTTCGTATATTTCGCATCGCTGCGTTTTATACTGTCGGAGCGTGAAAAAAATGTATAGGTTTACCGAGCTGAGTGACACAAGGTCAAATTCCTGAACAGAACGAAGCAACACTCAAGAGTGAAGGTTGACTTCGCAATGTATGCTATAAAACTTTCACAGGCTCTGTTTCTTTTCGCATTTTTTATGAAAGGTAAGATGTTTAATGTCGGTTTCAGAATACAAACACTCAATACTGCTTGAATATACTGTTTTCTTCTTTTCTTTGATCAACCGACTACAATTAATTCATTAGTCAGCAGAAAAGTTTTAGTTTCACAGTTTAAATTAAATTTGTTCTCTAAATATGCTGATGTTTTTCAATATAGAACCTCATTTCACCTTTTTGATAATTCAGTTTTTTATTTTTACTAGTGCAACCTTTCCGTACACCGTCAAAATCCGAATTCTTTATGCTCAATGATTTTTATACTTCTTCATCACCTATACAATACCAATGTGTAAAAATACGTTTTTATATACTTTTGAAGCATTTTATTTTTGACGATATATTTTAGATTTATAAATATTATTATTATCATTACTTATAATTATTACTGAAACTATGGCTGTCTTTATGATGATTACATATGTTTACAGCAGATTGTCAAGAATAATATCATAGTTTTCATTATTTCACTTGCGCTTTTAGCTAAAGTATTCCTCCGCAGAATTAACAGTATTAACTTGGCAACATAATGTTATCAATTCATATCTAGCGTTTAGAATTAAAAAATCAAGCAATATTGACGCATATGCCATACGATAGGTGTATTCAACAAATGGTCGTGTTGCATTGGCGTTTACCGGCCATTTGGCACTCCTTGCCTCTTTGTATCGCATACTCGGGTTTTTTTCCCTCAAATCTTAGACGGCCCGCGCACTTCTTATATTTCTTTTTAACCAAAAATATAGTAAAGCACAATAAAGTATATAATAAGATCGAGCATAATAATCCAAACAGAAAACATGCAGGCGTATATAATTATGTAAGTTTATGATCAACATTACAAAACATAAAATCTAAGGCAGTTTTAGCTAAACAAGATCATTCACGATGACAGTTCACAAATAGAACCTAAAACCTAACCGGGTGCTCTTGACCTGCCGCTATGACATTATGTTTGTGTTTAATAAGGCCTTGTTTACATGAGATAGGGTGCCCCTAGGTATAGTAGAGACAAACTTCTTTGTTTCAATTCTCCATTAAAGACACAAAGGAGTTAGTCTACCACGTAGGGGTACCATATCTCATGTAAACAGGCCCTAAGGCATAAGGCATGTTGCTCGTGTTTCGTGTGTGTTCTTTATTCAAATGATTTACACTTTAGAAGCCACGTCAATCATGGTAGTTCAAGCGCGTCAGTTGCGTTCCTCGCTCTGAGAGCATGCAGGGGCGGATCCAGATATTTCGAAAGTTCATGAAAAAAATGCGATGCAAAGTAAATCATGTTTGATTACTAATTTATTATGATATAAAATTGTGATAAGATGATAAGACTGATAAGTGTTTAGGAGATAAAAATTCAGGAAATTTTAATACAGAAATGTTGTCGGATAGTGACCAATACTCCATTTTACGTCAGTTCCAAGCTCGAAAGGCAACCAAGCCTTTGCATCAAAGCGAGATAGGAGTTAAGCCCGCAGTGATAAATATATAACTTTGTTCACACTTAAGATATAGACCTAATCTTCTATCGGCGGTGTTGCTATGCACGTTGCCACATTTGCAAATCCTGTGGGAAAAATCACTTTTGTGCAGGCTCGGCTACCTTTCGAGATGGCGTTTGGAACAGTAAAATGGGCTCTACCCTGATCTTTTTTCTGTAGTGTCAAACTTTGTACTAACCAGAGGTTAATTAGTGTTTAATCATCTATGTTGCTATCGACGGATTGCGATAAGATATTATAGCAACAAACAATAATAATAACAACAACAATGCTATTTTGATACCATAACTGTGCTCTACTGTACTTTTGGTTTATTTTTTCTCGATTAAATGATATTATCGTCACTAATAGTCTCCTTCACGGATACCTGCGCCATCTTGAAAGGTAGCCGTGCCTTTGCATCGAAACGAGTCGACCGTTGAGCGTCCAATGATAGATACCTGTGAATAATTGTCTATAGGTGTGAAAGAAGGTTTCTATMATHGYACGCTMAAYKRTTGTCTCGCTTCGATGACAAGGCACGGCTACCTTTCAAGATGGCGCAGGTAACCGTGAAGGAGACTATAGGAGAGAGTCCGTGATATCGCACCCTGTACGTCTTATCAGCGCTATGTTTTGTGCCGATGAACGGTCACACGATCCTCTCTCTCTTCTATTGCTGCTAACTGGTAAATTTTGTTACTCTCCACAGCATATTCGCAGTACCTAAATTTTCTGAAAGTAACCTCTAACGTCAAGGAAGATGTTGGAACAACTAAAATTGGAATCCAAAATATAAATAAAACTAGTGCCGTTACTGCTTCGTAAGTACAACTTATTTCAATTAAGTTTGCCATGCATCCAAATAATATAATACTAGTTCAGGAAGATTTGAGTAGACCGATGTAAACGTATGTATCCCATGATGCTTTCTGGATTTAGCTGAAAAGTAATGTAAGTTGTTAATCGGCTAACGCTTTACCATGTACGTTACCATCCAATTGAAATCCTGTGGGAAAAATAACTTTTGTTTCTAAGAATTCAACTATGGAATGAAAATACAACGAACAATGAAACTTACTCCCGGCTGGTGATTTGAATTGGGTAGAAACTTTTATAGCAACGCGTTAGCCGATTATATAGGTCTATTGAAGTCTTAAATTGCTGAAGGCGAGCTGAGACTCAACCAGTGCTTAATAAGATTGATGTAAAGCTTTTCCAAAATTTCCACTTATTCCTCGTGTGCAACCACATGACTAGAAATCCCCTGAGAAATAAAGAACAAAGCTATCGCTGCCATGTTGGATGAGTGAGAAAGAGAAACTAATGAGGAGTGATGATGAGGAATGCTTTGTGATTTCCATCCAACATGGCGCTGACGTAAATTGCACGCCAAGAATTCCATCGACCATAATTCTAATCCTAGTTTGTGAATTGGTGTCCTGTTATATTTAATGTTTGCTTGATTTATCTACCATGTAACCCCTACATCATAACTGCACTTTCATTTCGACAGGATAAACGTTTCTGGAACTGCCACTCAAGGATCTGATCAATATCTTGGTCCCCTCTGGTAATACTACATATATCTCGATAACAGTCATAAATGATGATATTAAAGAAGGGAATGAGACAATTGTTCTCACTTTAACCAACGGCAGGGGAAAAAATGAAGTGCACACCGTGACGATTATAGACAATGATCAAGGTAAGAATTTGAATTGGGCCCGCAAAACGTCCGAGCTCGTGTTACTTTAAACTCCGCATGCTCAAATCCCTAGAATTTTACTGCCCACTTCGACGATTGTCGCATTTATTTTTTCTTTCACTCCGGTTTCTTTAATTCTTATTAAGGGTCAAAAACAGTTTATAAAAAAGTTGTTTTGACGATCATGTTGTTAAAATCTGGAGAGATAATTCGATTTTTTATCAGTTTTAAAGTTTTCGATTTCTTAAAAGTTCTTCAGGATTCCTGTCCTGTTTTCACCCCTTAGGTGTGAGATCTGACACTCTTTAATTAAAATTTCGAAGAATAATCTTATATACAAACTAGTTAACAAGTTCAATTTGGTCTAAAATGAATACAGTTTGAATATATTTATTTTTTCAAATGACACTCACTTTTGCCAGTCCTAGTACCTTAACGTTACCGTAACAAGGGATATATGGGAGGGGGGGGGGGGGGGGGTGAATTAATTTCAGTCAAGCTGACGTCCCGCGCGAATTTTGTATATAAATAACTAGTTTCACTGAAATTTCTTGTAATCCTTTATTTTACAATTGCATGCTCATACTATATGTAACCGGTTGATATGTGATGGGATTTAGTTGTAAGATGTTGTAGGTTCGATATTAAGTTGTTGGAGAAAGATAACACACAGAGAAAACTAACACACCACCAAACGTGACCGAATCTAAAGCAGAACTACTTTACTTGCGCAACAACGCGCGCTACGAACGTGATCGCTCACGCCACTTCCCCCAAACATGGGCGTCACACAACCTCGACCTTGTCACATATAGTTCGATATAAAATTTAATCACCAAACGACAAACGAAAAGCGGAAAATGTTGTTATCTAGAGCTGTCCGTCCGTGAGAAAGTGGTGGGTAATGCATGGAGTTGTACTCTGTTAAAACACCTGCTTATCCATTGCAAACTATACTAGGTAGTTGTGCCTTTAATTATGTTTCTACAAAGAAAACCAGCTTAAAAACGTCTTTTAGGAATATTTTATCTGTGCTATAAAAAGTGCTAGGACGTCAAACCCCATTATGTTTTGTTTGAGAAGATGGTCAGTGAAGCAGCTCGTCGTGCGTTTGGGATTCGCTCTATGCTGTCTGCATCCCATTATGAAAAACGTTTGCTAATCAGAGAGCTTGAATACAGATATTGCAGAAAACGTTGATACTGAATACTGAGAGAGCAATTTTAGGTAAACAAGCGTCACGACGGCAGTTCACAAATCTAACCTAAAACTGCATAACCGGGTGCTCTTTGGCTCGCCATTGGCTATGACTTTATGTTTGTGTTTAAGTGTCTTATAATCGATAAACATGTATGACAATCGATAAACAAAACATAATATGCAGTATCGAATAAACATAATAACGATGTCAAGAATAATAAGTGTTCTCTATGACTTGTTTTCAAATTTTTCTTATCGTCTATAGTGGATACGTACTTAAACGAGTTGTACACTACACTCGCCTTCGGCTTGAGTTTCATATGCCGATAAGACACGCTCGTTTTCTGAACATTACATGGGCCATTCAGCGGTCCTTTTTGGAATTCACACACACAAAAGACGACTCAGAGGCCCGGGGGGAACTCCCTAATATCAAAGGGCGGGGTCCTCGTCGGAGTCTGAAAATGCTGAAATTTCACCCCTAAGAGAGACCAATCAATAACAAATCATTTTGTTTTGGTTTCCCGATTTTATTTGCGTTTTTGCACAATCATCGAACACCGTCGGCTCGTATTGAGTTTATGACGACGTTGCCATTTTATGACGGCTTAGGGTCATCGTATACCCTAAAAGGGACCACAAAACTCAGTAGGTGGGAATTCTCGTCATTATCACCCTAAGCAGGACCAAAATACCGATTTCAAACCCTAAAAGGGACGTCGAAGACACCCTCCCATTGATATTAGGGAGTCTCCCCGGGCTCTGAGGCATAACTCCAGGGTATTTCACCCGGAGTCTACCATTTGTAGTGTTAGCTCAGTATAGCGCATGGACAACGAATAAACTCATGGCCCATTTTTATTGATTTCCACAGCACTAGAGTTCGTCACAACATCCTCTAGAGTGAATGAAAGCGATGGGTTTGCTACAGTACAAATCAGAAATGCAAATGCAGCGACAAAAAGAGCTGAGTAAGTATATTTCTCGTTGTAGCACTTCTTTAAAAGCTCACTAGACTGGGCCCTTGTACTTTCCCCTCTTTCTTCTCCTGTGTTATTATCCCAATCATGGTTGACAGAAGTATTTTGTTTCAAATATTTTTTGCAATAAAACAACTTTAAAACGCATTTCATTAAATTTGTTGCTTTTCATGCCTGTTGCAACTATAGTACCCACGCATAGTGGCAAGGATTAAAAGGTGTATATGAAATTATATATCTTTAACTACAGTTAGCTAGAGGAGCAAAAATCATGGTTGAAATTTACTATAAAAAAGGAAAACAATTCACGTCTCACGATTATAATATTCTCATCGCGGAAGAAACATTGCATGGTTCATAGTTGGGCTGCCTATGGTTTTCATATATATTGTATATGAATGAATGTGTAAATCTCCGAATGCGGCCTAAAACCAAGTGTACGTATAAACCAAAACACACGACGCTTCAGTATGTCATAGCTACTTGCTACTAATCCAAGGGAGATGAGGTGGCGGTTTTGGCGGCCATCTTTGACTAGTAGGCAAACTGTCGAAAAATAACAAGGTTAGACCGGGAAATCGATGTCAAATAATTCTCGCTGAATTCAAATTCGGAAATAATTATCAATTGCAAACATTAGATACTACAAAAAGAAGTTAACTTGTCAAATTTGAAGGACGTATTTCATCTAGGAAGCGAGTTAATTTATTTTTAGTTCTCAATACATTTCTTTGTATTTTTCACGCACGTCACGCGCCGATGACCCCAGAAATTACAAAGAAATGTATGAGGAACTAAAAATGAGTTTACTCGCTCTCTAGATCAAGTATGCCCTTCAAATTTGGCCAGTGAACTCCTTTTCGCAGTATCTAACGTTTGCAATTGATAACTCTTTACAAATTTGAATTATTTGACATCGATTTCTCACTATATCCTTGTTATTTTGCAACACTTTGGTGTTGCCTACTCCTCGACAGGGGTACCAAAACGGTCATCTCGCGTCTCCACCTCTTGTGTGTATTTTGTTTGTCGGTAATTGTCCCCTGTCATAAGAAAAAACTCATTTTATATTTTACTAATATTTTCTCGAATCACTTTAAATTCTACAGGATAGTAACTTCTGGTAATGCCACTTATCTATCTGATTATAAGTATATTGGCGGAACCAATGTAACAATTGCTGGAAATTCTGATAGAGACATTGTTATACAAATCCTTGACAATAGCATTGTTAACAAGGTAAAGACAGTGAAGCTGCAGCTACTGAACTCTGGTGGGGTTAAACCAGTACACACCTTGTTTATTGAAAATGATGATGGTAAGCAAAGCAAATTAAACATTAAAAAAAAAAAAAAAAATCTGTTGACGCAAAGAATGTATTTTAACGTAAACTATAGGTAGTTGTGCCTAAAATTATGTTTATGCAAAGAAAACCAGCTTAAAAACGTCTTTTAGGAATATTTTATCTGGGTTATAAAAAGTGCTAGGACTATAAATCCCATTGTGTGCTTTTGTTTGACAAAATGGTAAAGCTGCTCGTCGTTATTTACTGGGATTGGCTCTATGTTGTCTGCATCTTCTTGTGAAAACATTCGCTAATTAGAGAGCTTGAACAATTCTGCGATGTATACAGATATTGTAGAGAACAATTGTATGTCCTTGTAAAGCGATGTACGTTTTTTTGACGGACTTTCAATCAATGACTTTGTACTGATTTTATAGACTGTTCTTTTCCATGGGTGGTAATTACAGTATCTATCTAATTGAATTGTTGTTTTTTTTTCGATAGTGGCCATTACTTGCTCAGGGGCCAGAGCCAAAGAAAACAAAAATTTTTTAATAATGGAAATAAAACGGACTGGAGAAATTGATGGCGTTAGCAACACTTTGACGTAAGTGATAGAGATTGTTTACTGGTGCGGCCAGAATCTTGAATTATTTTTTGTTTTATTTCAATAATATGACCGGAAGTGATTGTTGTAATTTTTGGAGCGGAAGTGAGTAAAATTCTGAATTTAATTCTGAACATTTATTTTAATATTATACTTTCAGATGTTTTACTAGTCCTAGTGGAAGTGCAGAGCAAAATATTGACTACGTGTATACTTCTAAGCAAATCAGTTTCCCTAAAGGATCGTCATCTGAGAACTTCACAGTACCAATCAAAAGTAATGAGAAGAATTTCAATGACTTACACTTCACTATCAATTGCTACACCACTAACACGGAACATATCGACTCATCTTCGTGCAAACAAGTTCAAGCTGTCATAGAAGACTCGTCTGGTGAGCACGGCCTGTTCCTCGTTTTTGATTTGTAGCCCTGAGGGGGGGGGGGGGAGGTCTTGAAAAAAGGGCGCGGCTGACTGATTTTTAACCCCTAAAGAATGCAAATATTGTTGAATTAAAGTTCCAGTTCCAATGATAAAAACGCAGAGGAAAATCAATTTCTCTCCTATTCCGACACCCTAAGAGATTGCACAAAATGCAAATTTTCAGAAACTCCAAATCGGCACCCTAAAAAATTCCCAGTCACGAATTTTTACCCCTAAGAGATCCGACGAGCATCCCGGTACTTTTACCCACCCACCTGGGTTGTAACCATTCAGGGTTAATCAAAGAAAAGATGCCACGTCTGTTTATAGGTTCATTTCTTTGCTTGACTACTTTAGGAATGGTTTAAAAATAAGAACTCCATGAATTTCCTCTTTTATGTGCCATGGGTAGTTCTAAAGCTATCTTTATGTATTGCGCCTTTTTCATCGTCTCCGCGGTAGACGTCCTCGAGATTTCACTGTTTGGCGAAAAAAGTATAGCCACAATCATGGACAAAATTTAGAGAATAAATAGCATGCTATTTAAAAACCATCCAGTGCTGTGTTGTGCTGTGCTGTGCTGTGCTGTGCTGTTACAATCATTCTCTCTCATTGTTGTTGTAGAGGGCTTTGGATTTTGTAGCGATTCTCCTATGTCAGTCAAGGAAAATGCTGGGAATTACACAGCCAAGATTTGCCGTAAGGGCTTCGAAAATAGAACGTCAACGTTTGAGTACGTATACTTCTGTTCATTTATTAGCTAATTGCTATATTAAAAATACATTTGATTATCTGAAAAGAAAACGGACTCAACAAGCTAGTGTAAATTAACGCATCTGATTAAGGACCGCGTCAGACTATGTTTCTAACATTTTGTTGAAATTGTTCGGTTAACTAGACGATCCGGGGATGGTATATTAATTAACTCGATCGTTTTAGATAGAACCAACACTCCCCCGTGTCTGGATCAATCCTTGATAATAATTTTATAGACAAAGTCATTGCAGGAAAAAAGCAAATCATAGAGACACGGCGGCCATTTTCAACCCCCCCCGTCTGGGGGGGCTTTAAATAACATGAATTATTAATTATTATAGCGGGCCGATTTTACCGATTATACTGAACGGTTGTCTCGTGCGACTCAAATGAGCTCCAGATCGCGCTGTGCCATCTATGTCATCAATGCCTCTATACGACTTGCCTGAAACAGCCGTAGGCAGCGTACGACTTGTAATCCTACGAAAATATAGTATACACCCTTTTAATAAGTCCCGAGGTATTACGTTCTCCGCACTTGACGTCAAATTTATTCTTTTGAATTCCTTTTGTATTGTAAAACTTTCAAAAGAATAAATTTGGCGTCAAGTGCGGAAAAAACAATACCTTGGGACTTATTAAAAGGGTGTATACGACAAGTCGCACGCGACAATCGTATCGTGTAGACCGACCTAATGGGATATATTGTTTAATCAATTTTCATGTTGTATAGGGTATGCGTTGCAAAGGAAAATATGACTTATTTTGAAAAATTCCACAAATCAATAGCAGATAAGTGCGAAAAGGTTACCTTTCAACCTTCAGACCTTCAAAAAAACGTCACTTTTCTGGTCAAAGACGATCCTTGGGGCGAGCAAGAGGTATCGACCTTTGAGGTTTCTTTAAAACTCGGAATGGGATTACCTTCCTTTGGAGAAAGAGTACGTAATGTTTCTCTGATTGATGACGATAGTAAGTAAAATAAACGGAAAATAAACAGTAAGTTTATGTGTGATTTGCATCATCCTCTCTACAAAGAGTTTTTGTCATTCGTTATTAGAATAAAATAATAAAATAATATTATATACATATTATACATATTACAGTATACATATTATATACATATATATAAAATAGAAAATTACAGAACAAACTACTGTATTTTCATGATGTAATTTTCACTACCATATTGTTTCGTATGGTCCAGAGGACCACACTCATCAGGTGAAACCAATTACACGACCGTTAAAATCTAAAGGTTTACATTAAGTACAAGTTTGAAAATGATGCTAAAGTATAAAATTACAGATTCGTGATAAAAGTTATAGATACAAGTGCGTGACGGATTAAATGTTTATCCGTTGTAAAATCTTAAGAGGTATTTTCGTCTATGTCTACATGTAGATACAAGTTCGTTACGCTTATTTAAGGTTGCTTCATGTCTATGGCAAATTATTATATATTTCTCACTTATACATAAATTACAGCGTTTGCTTAAATGATTATATGATTTTGATTTCGTTAAAATTGACCATTTAAGAGTGAATTCGATATTATTGTCCTTTAAGCTCCAAATATATTTAGAAAGTTCCGTGGCATTTTTCTTCTTTTCATTTCTAAATGATGTTGTGTGGTTTCTGTATCTTGTTTTAAATTCATTTTCTGTTAGGCCTACGTAAGTTTCTGTTCTTTCGTCTGTCGTGACTGTAGCTTTGTAGATTATGTTTGAAGTTCGGCATTCACCGTCAAGTGGGCAAGACGCTTTATTTCTGCAGTTACAAGGAGGGATTACTTCATCTTGGTCGGTGGCGTGTTGTTGAATTAATTTCTTATTATGGTTATCAATTATGTTCTTGACGTTTGGCATACAGGAGTAACTAATTTTCACTGTATTTCTTGTGAATATCTTATGCAAAGGATTGTCAACTTTAAAATGTTTGTCTATTAGTTTTAGGAATGATTTGCCAATGTTTGTTTTGACATTTTTGCTAAATGGTGGATTATACCAGATTATATTACGTTGACGGTTGCGTTTTTTTGAATTAGAAGTAGGTGCGTACTTTAGCTTGAAATCATATCCGCTTTTCGTTAGTGCTTCTTGATATATAGGAACAGAATCGTTGAAAGTTTTTTCATCAGATGATATTTCAGATAATCTTCGGTTGATAGCTTCAGGAATGTTTTTGATTATGCTTGGGGGATGGTTGGATTTACTGTGTACGTATTGTGGGGTGTTGCCAGGTTTTGAATATGGTCTGAAAGAACTGCGATTTAGATCTAGTGTGACGTCGAGGAAGTTGACTACTTTTTTGTTGGCTTCAATGGTTATACGAAGGCCGTGTTTGCTGAATGTGTTACAGATATCTTTCTTGATGTCTTCTATTTCTTTCGGGGATTTGTTGAATATTGCTAGGCCATCATCTCTGTAAAGGCCAATGCGGTTCCCGTATTTTTCAGCTAAAGATGAAAGTAGAAAACAGCCAACTAGCTCGCACGTCTCAGCTCCATCATAACTCCCCATAGTTACGTCAAACAGTTTATTTTCCGTTTTTTTACACCAAGGTTGTCCGTTGTTAAAAAGGAGAGATTTCTTTGCATTTATGATAATTTTACGGTCATCTTCAGTTATGTTTGTATAGTTCTGGGCAAAGTTCAGAGCGTCATGAAGAAGTTTTTCGGTTATAGAAGGGTAAAATTCTACTACATCAAAGCAAATGAAGGAAGCGTTCGTCTTGTTAGGAAATTCTTTATACCACTTTAGGACGGAANTGCAAAAGGCTGTACAAAAAAAAAAAAAAAAAAAAAATATATATTAATATGTAAATCCAGAGTAACGTAAGGCAGCAAAAAAAAAAAAAAAAAAAAATGAATGATAATAACTTTGGGTCCCTTGTCGACTTAAGGCGAAAAAAAAAAAAAAAAAAAAAGTAGTAGGCCTTACACAGAGAAGCTATATACAGAGGATTCAAAAAAAAAAAAAAAAAAAAAATGAGTATCCCGCGGGTGGTACTCCTACTACACTATATACTACTTACAATACGCTCCCTCGGCCTGCTGCCTTGATAAAACTTCTCAGTTAATCTTCAAGGAAAAAAAAAAAAAAAAAAAAAACGAGGCCGAATGCTTAGAAGGGAAAGACCGGTAACCGGAAAAAAAAAAAAAAAAAAAAAAGGAAACTGAGACTGCAGACTATTGAAATCGCGTGCGCTACAAAAAAAAAAAAAAAAAAAAAATTCACAACAAAACGAAATACCAGCAGCATTTTAAGACATAAAAAAAAAAAAAAAAAAAAAAAAAAAAAACAAAAAACAAACAAACAAACAAACAAACAAAAAAAAAAAAAAAAAAAAAAAAATCACCTGGTTTATGCCAGATAGATGAGTTTCTCAGAGTAAAAAAAAAAAAAAAAAAAAAATTCTTATTGCGTTGTGGTGCCTCCCTCGAAAAAGCTTGTAAAAAAAAAAAAAAAAAAAAAATATTTCGAAGTGAATATCCAAAGATATGGGGCTGTTTCATAAAAAAAAAAAAAAAAAAAAAAAGTAATAGTCATGATTTAATCACTCTTTAATACTTTGATAAAAAAAAAAAAAAAAAAAAATAAATGTGTGCAACACTTTCCACTATTTACTACAAAATAGAAAAAAAAAAAAAAAAAAAAACAATAGAATTAGCATAATTTAGCAGTATTTAGTGGTATCTAAAAAAAAAAAAAAAAAAAAATGTACTCTATCTATGTGAATATATAATTATATTTATACAGAAAAAAAAAAAAAAAAAAAAACCCCTACACTAACATTCATATATATCAAAATAGCCTTAGAAAAAAAAAAAAAAAAAAAAAAATATTTTTTTTAGAAAGTTCTCATTCTGGACTACTCAAAAAAAAAAAAAAAAAAAAAAAAACATAATATTAAAGCTCAGTTTGATATATATGAAATATGGCAAAAAAAAAAAAAAAAAAAAAAAACAGCTGTATAAGATTTATATAATTATATAATTATATTTGCAAGAATGTTATTAACTGTTATTTTCCGAAAGTAAAGTGATTATCCATGAATTTCCAACAAAAAAAAAAAAAAAAAAAAAAATATTCAACGAGAATCAATGAGTTAGCGAGCCAATGATAAAAAAAAAAAAAAAAAAAAAATCAGGAGCGCGCAGTTTTGCATAATGACCTGTGTCTGCCTAAAAAAAAAAAAAAAAAAAAAAATAATCCGCCGTTTAGCTTTGGCTAGGTGGTAACATTTCAAAAAAAAAAAAAAAAAAAAAAAGGATTGCTGAGCAAGCAAAAGATCAAGGGAAAAGTTGTAAAAAAAAAAAAAAAAAAAAATCAGGAATTATCGTCGATAGAGTCAAGAGAACGTTTCATAAAAAAAAAAAAAAAAAAAAAAAAAACTGTGGATGCAGTGTCTTTATAACATTCTACAGAAAAAAAAAAAAAAAAAAAAAAAAATGTGAGTTTGTAGTAAACAGTTTGCAGCCAAAATATGATAAAAAAAAAAAAAAAAAAAAATATTGCTTGCACAGCAATTTTCTACATCTATTGTGAACACAAAAAAAAAAAAAAAAAAAAATCTGCAAAATCAACATTTTGGAGAAGGTGCAGATATTGGAAAAAAAAAAAAAAAAAAAAAACATAAGTACAGAATTAAAACCTTTTATCATATAATTATCTAAAAAAAAAAAAAAAAAAAAAATTTCGTAAACTAGATATTTTCACTAGTGAAAATAACACAAAAAAAAAAAAAAAAAAAAAAGGAAGTAACACAAAGCTATTTTACGACATAATTTGCTTTCAAAAAAAAAAAAAAAAAAAAAGGAATATTACATGTTCGCTTGCAAATACGAATTTCATCTTAAAAAAAAAAAAAAAAAAAAACACTTGAAGATAAAATCCGCCATCTCCGCGCGCCCATATAAAAAAAAAAAAAAAAAAAAAAATTTAATGTTTTCAGCTTGGTCTCTCAAGATAAAACAACAAAATCAGGAGAAGATTATTTCAATGTCCATTACGCAGTGAACTTCTCTAAAACATCTACAAAAAAAAAAAAAAAAAAAAAAATCATTAATGATAACTTGACAGAACTTAGTACTGAGTCTTTAAAAAAAAAAAAAAAAAAAAAAACTCCATATAACGTATTTCCGAAATGCGAGATTTCAGTAAAAAAAAAAAAAAAAAAAAAAGAGTACTGTGAAACATAATGTAATTAGAAATGGGGCTTTGTAAGTTCCGCACTGGGAAAATACAATACCAGCCTGGCTTTTGCCGAAGTGAGGGAATTTGGAAAAAAAAAAAAAAAAAAAAATATTCTTGGTGTGCAACCACATGAGCTGGAATCCCATGAGAAAAAAAAAAAAAAAAAAAAACCGTCATGTTGGATGAATGAACAAGAGAAACTAATGTCACAAAAAAAAAAAAAAAAAAAAAGATCTTCATCCAACATGGCGGGGTTGACGTAACTTGCACAAAAAAAAAAAAAAAAAAAAAAGCATATATTGAGAGTATAAATTATCAAAGCAAATCAATTCAAAAAAAAAAAAAAAAAAAAATAATCATGACCTAGAGATATTAATGAGGGGCGATCCATTAAAAAAAAAAAAAAAAAAAAAAGGGGGGGGGGGGGGAAGGGATCGTTGAAAAAATTCTTCATAAAAAAAAAAAAAAAAAAAAAATTCCTGCAAGGCAAAATCTTGAAAAATCTCTAAGATGGCAAAAAAAAAAAAAAAAAAAAATATTCACACAAATAAAACCAGAAATGTTAGGAGTTATTAATTAGGGTTTCAGATCATCAACAAAATAACGGTTATTTTCATCTTTTTTTATAGCCAACGTAAAAAAAAAAAAAAAAAAAAAATACAACACATCGGAATCCAAAAATATAACATTGATCTTCAAAAAAAAAAAAAAAAAAAAAAATGATCACAAAGTCAGGTAGCACAGAGACTATGAATAAACAAAAAAAAAAAAAAAAAAAAATTATGTTCTGAATTGGCTGTGAAGTTTGTATTAATCAATGAAAAAAAAAAAAAAAAAAAAACTACTCAGGTATAGGGTTTCGCTTGTGTCGGGAATTCAAAAAATTATCCCTAAAAGTTGCAACTTAGCTCGAGCAAGCCAGTTCTACTTTTTCTCAASAAACAAAATGAAATGTTCAAGTTGCACGAGGCTCGTGCAACGTGAACATTTTTTTGCGCGACACAAGTTGCACGAAAAAAACGCCAGAGTGCAGCCGCCTTTATACATCATGAAAGTTTTCAATTTGCTCTTTAATTTTTTGATTTCAGTGTTACCACAGTGGGAGACACGGCCAAGCCTGGTGAGGATTTTATTGCAGTTAACAGAACCGCAATACCTTTTCCTATTGGTAGGCAACATGCACAGATCATTATCCCTCTAATAGATGACCTCGTTTCCAAATCCAACAAGACATTCAAAATCATGACCTCACGGCAAGGCACTGGTATCTCTCACTTTACCTGTCCAAGTATCATTACAGTTGACATAGTTGACAACGACGGTAGGTAATCATTATTGTATTTATATTACTGGTCGAAGTAAGAAGACCAAATAAGAATTAGCAAGACAATTTTTTACAGGCAAACATGCACCTTAATAATCTCACAAATCAATTTTTGTAACTTTTTTTGTAATATTTTGTATATACAAAAAATCAAGTTTCTTTTAGAATGTGGAAAGAAACTAAAAAATTTAAAATCGAATTTTATGATTTGTTACGCAACGCAAATAGTACTCTTAATCTCCTCCTCAGGCATCACTAAGTATCACGGGCTTACGGATCTTATTTGTGCAGCCTTAACCTCGAAAGCATGTAATATATTCTTTTATCATATAATTATCTATGAAATACCTATATTTCTCCATTACGTAAAATTGATATTTTCACTAGTGAAAATATCACATTCGAGGTTTCTCTATTCTCGGTTTGCACATGACGTCATCAGTCGAAAAAAAGTAAGAAAAAAGATATTTTCAAAAAAAAAAAAAAAAAAAAATTAATTATATGATAAACAGAATATTACATGGTCGCTTTGAAAAAAAAAAAAAAAAAAAAAATGTTGAAAATCTCTCACTCGTTCGCTACGCTCACTCGTGATATTTTCAACACTCGAAGATAAAATCCGTATCTCCGCGCGCCCATGTAATATCCTCTATTTAAAAAAAAAAAAAAAAAAAAAAATGCAAACACTCTGTGTACACAAAGAAGACAATAAAAATTTATGCTTGATTGAAGCTAAGCTTGCACAAAAAAGAATTTGAAACTGGAGAGAGGGGAGGCAAAAAAAAAAAAAAAAAAAAAGTCGTAAGATGACCTTTACAAAGGAAGCTCAAAGGAGGAAAAAAAAAAAAAAAAAAAAAAAGAATATAGTACACTAAATGGAGGTTCAGCAGCCACAGATTAAAAAAAAAAAAAAAAAAAAACTGTTTTACTTAAAAACATGTAAAATTGATGACGTATTTAAAAAAAAAAAAAAAAAAAAAATCACACCGTCTGATCTGCAATCCGGACGCTGTACAACCATAAAAAAAAAAAAAAAAAAAAATAGGTAATACCTATAATAGCGGAGTTTCAATGGCAAAGTTAAAAAAAAAAAAAAAAAAAAAGTCAAGCAAAACATTTACAAACATTTACGTTCATGCTATCAAAA